TGGGGCAGAGAGGCCACAAGGTGGAGAGACAGCCCCAGCTGCAGAGGAACAGGCAGCAGCACAGACACCCAGAGCCTCAGGGGAAGCAGGCCTCACCTGGAGGGCACAGCCACCCTGGAAGGCTGGCCAGTCCCAACCAGGCCCTGAGCAAGAAGGGGACCCAAAGAGGGCTTCAGAGGTTTGTGACAGGGAGCCAGCGAAGAGCTGAGGGGCCAGCACCTCAGTAGCCTTGGGCACCAGAGCAGTCACACAGCCGCAGCTTACGGGGAGCCAGGCCAGTAAATGTGCGGAATAAAGGTTCATTCAAGGGCCCAGCTGACCCCAGGATGGGGCTACCCATGCCTGGATTTTGTTGGCAATAACTCCCGTGAGAGGCTGGATGGAAGTGGCCCCTGCTGCTGGCCCTGCAGTCTAAAGAAAGTTCAGCAAAGCTGTAAAGATCAATTCTAGGTGTCAACTTGATTAGGAGTGCCAAGAAACCTGGTAAAGCTATCCCTTTAGGTGTGTCTGTGAGATTGTTTCTAGAGGAGATTAGCATGACAGCCTGAGTGGACTGGGTGGGAAAGACCTGCCCTCAATATGGGTAGGAACCATCCAATCTGCTAGGGGCCCAGAAAGAACAAAAACAGAGAAAAAAGGCAAATCTCTCTATCTGCTGGAGCTGGGACACACTCTTCTCTCCTGTCCACGGACATCAGAGCTCGAGACTCCAGCTTTCGGGCTCCTGGACTTACACCAACCGCACCATTGGCTTCCCTGGTCCTGAGGCTTTGGGCTTGGACTGAACCATGCTGCCAGCATCCAGTCTGCAGACAGCCTATCACGGGACTCCTCTTCACAATTGCGTGGGCTAATTTCCCTAATAAATCCCCTCTCATGTACTTACAAACATATCCTATTGGTTCTCTCTCTGGAGAACCCTGATTAATACAAAGGCCTCGGTCCCCTGTGTCCCCTGAAGGTCCGCCTCGGTCCCCTTTGTGCGCAGTCACTAACTGGGAGCAGCCGTGGCAGTGTGTCCTCTGGCAAATGCGGTGACAAAATGGAGAGCCCAGCAGCCAGGACTGAAGTCAATGGCCCTCCCACGGCTGGAGGCCTGGGAGAACCACCCCAGGGTGCTACCAAGAGCCACTAGAGGGAGAGGCACCGGCCTGGGAGATGTGACCGGAAGCTTCTGGGAGCCGGACGCACCAAGCAGCGGAGCAGCAGGTACCACCACCGCAGAGGCACGCGGGTCCTCTGTGACTGGCAGCACACCTGAGAGGACCTAGTCTCCCTGGGTCTGCAGAGACAGCGGTGGCCCAGGAAGTGACTGCAGCACCATCTGAGCCACTTAAACGCCCATCACAGGGGAGTGGCTAAAAAAACTGTGGGACACCCACTCCACGGAGGAATCAGAAATAGCCAGGCAGGTCCTCCTGCTCTTGATGGCAGCGCTGAACAGCCAAACTAATCTCAACCCACTCAGAACCACTGCAATTTTTATGCATAGGAAAAACTCAAGTATGTCCACCAAATAGGCAGAAGTGGTCACTCTAGGGGGATGTATAGAGGGGAAGACATTTGCACTTTTTATTTAATAACATTGAGCTCATTTTTTTTAAAGTTTAAAAGTTATGGGTATATTTTGTAATTAAAAAAATGAAGATTAAGAAAAGTTTTCCCCAAAATATAAAGTGCCTGTGAGAATAAAATATTAGGTCACTTGGCTTTTTTCCTAGTCAGAGCCAGGTTTTACAAGCAATGGACATTCCCAACCAGGTTTTACAAGCAATGGACATTCCCAACTGGATTTCCACCTGCCTGCCAACAGTATCCTCGCTGTATCTCAAGGATTCAAGCAGCCCCCAAACCCTACAAATCAGACCACCATTTTGCAACTTTGTGGATACATTTTAAGAAGTATATTTTGCACCGTAACCCAACACAGGCCGATACACACAAGCAAGAACACATGGAAATGAAACTTTCAGGAAAGGACAGTTATTCTATGCACCTGCAGTCTGGTATTTTCTAGTTTCTTTCTCATTCAACATAACCCATTAAACTGAATTTACAACCCACTAAGCAGTCACAGCCTGAGGTTTGGGTGCCATGGTGCCTACAGAGACCATGCCACCCACATCCTTGTAACCATTCAGCAAAGGGAAAGGCGACTGTCACCCCTCACAGATGAGGAAACAAGGGACTCTCCCAGGCTGCCCAGTTAGGTAAGCCCAGGAACTGGGGCTTGGGTCTCGCACACTTCATGAAGCACAATTTCCACGCAACCCCTCTGCCTTTGCACGGGCTCTCAAAGTCACTGCTTCCTCATTTGCACAGTGGTGAAGAAAAGATAAATAAATAAAGCTTGCTACGCCTCATTTCTATGATGCTGCACAGAAGTTTGAAGCTAAAATTTATCATACAATGGAAACTTTTGGGAGGAACTATATTACTGCCAAAAAAAAAAAAAAAGTATACTGTCAGTAGCCTTCATTGGGGATGCAGCAGGGTAGGAGACAAGAGCCTACTATGTAGTCTACAGGGTAGCTGGTTTTTTAAAGAGAGCGGGGGTGGGAACTGGAACACTCACTGAATTATCATCCCCTGCTCTCCAAAAGGTGGAATCAGAAGCGAACACCTGAGTACCAACCCCCCAGGTCATAAAGACGGTCTCCTGATGAGGAAACCAGGGCCCTGACTTGACATGTCCTGGCCAGAATTGCCAACAGGCCAATGGCAAGGGCCAAGAGGAAACCTGGGACTTTAAAGGACTTCCAGCACCAGTCTAGGCCTGTGCTATTTAAAAATGCTTCCACAGGGCTGGCCAGTTAGCTTAGGTGCTTAGAGCTCAGTGTTATAACACCAAGGTCAAGGGTTTGGATCCCCTTCCAGGCCACTCACCAAAAAGAAAAACAAAGAAAAAACTATCATGACAAAAAAAAGTTTAAAACAAAAAAAAGCTTCCACCTTCCCCTCCCCCGCAACAGCCCCATTTAACAGGCCCCATACCTGTGGGGAAGGTGCTGCCAATTCACATCAATTCCAGATGAAGAAACCAAGGCTCGGGGGACATCCTGGTGACAATGGGCACACCCCCCTAAAAATGTGGTACCCTGACTAGAGTGTGCAGTCCTCTACTGGACATACTCGGTGGCCCATCCTCAGGATCCCAGACAGGCTGTTCAGTGTCATCCACTGAATGGAGAGGGGAGAAAAAAGCCAGGAGATCCTACCAGTGCAGAAAGAGTCATCTGATGGAGCAAACCACATTTCAAATTTCATTAGGCACACTCAGTAAATAATATCCAGGCCAATCAGCTACTCTTTCAACTAAAAAAGAAACTGAAGATCACACAGAATGAGTCAGGTACACCTTGCAACAACAGCAGCTAGGGCTTGCTCAGGAAAGGACACAAGGTGTAACCAAAGGCAAGGGGAGGGGAGCTGGAGATGAACGAAAGTAACCTCATCACACCGTGGTCAGATCAGGCCACTTCTGAGAGGGACCAGGCCAGAGGGCACCTAGTGTCTCCCGGCAAATTCCTTCCTTAGCTTCTGTCCCTCTGGGCGCAGCTGTGAAGAGGACCCAGATGGCATCTGGCAGACCTGCTGGGCAGGTATCAGACAGCCGCACTGCTTCAGGACAGGCTGCTGTCCTGGCGTGAAGGCCGGCAGGCAGGCAGGCAGGCAGACATGGGGCGAGAGCCCTTTTAACGTGCCCTCTGCCTAATAAAGCCAGACACTCGGTGGCCACCTGCTGTCCCCATTCTTACCTAATCTAGGTCATGTCTTGGGGGGAGGGAAGGGCGGGAAGGAAATGATACCCGCAGCTACAATTTTACTTCTGGAAAACAGTTTCTTCGCCCTGGACTTGGGGTTCCTACTTGACCTCGGCTTCCCCATTCCAGGAGCCACCGCCCCCGCAGCCGCTCCTTCCCCGGGCCCAGGCGGCGAGGCCCTGAGACCCCGCCCGGATGGATCTGCAGCAGGCGCCGGGGAGCGACCTGGACTAGACACGCGCTTAGCCGGGGTCTCTCCGGGGAGCGACCCGGTCCCCCTGCCTCGCCCTCCCACGGAAGGTCCCCCAACGCGGAGTCTGGGGCGGAGCCCGGGACCCCGCATTTTTAACCGGTGATCCGGACGCGCAGACAGGTGGGACGACCGCCGCTCGGGGACCCCCGACGTCTCTTCGGAGGGGGGTCCTTCCCCGGGGGTGGGGCGGCGGGCCCGGATCTCTCTCCGAGCGGGTAAACTGAGGCTCGGGGAGGGAGGACATCAGCTGCAGGGCCGAGGGCGCCGCATTTCTAACAGCGCTTCCCCCAGGGGATCCGAGAACCGCTGCTGGGGGGCACAATTTCCACGCAACCCCTCTGCCTTTGCACGGGCTCTCAAAGTCACTGCTTCCTCATTTGCACAGTGGTGAAGAAAAGATAAATAAATAAAGCTTGCTACGCCTCATTTCTATGATGCTGCACAGAAGTTTGAAGCTAAAATTTATCATACAATGGAAACTTTTGGGAGGAACTATATTACTGCCAAAAAAAAAAAAAAAGTATACTGTCAGTAGCCTTCATTGGGGATGCAGCAGGGTAGGAGACAAGAGCCTACTATGTAGTCTACAGGGTAGCTGGTTTTTTAAAGAGAGCGGGGGTGGGAACTGGAACACTCACTGAATTATCATCCCCTGCTCTCCAAAAGGTGGAATCAGAAGCGAACACCTGAGTACCAACCCCCCAGGTCATAAAGACGGTCTCCTGATGAGGAAACCAGGGCCCTGACTTGACATGTCCTGGCCAGAATTGCCAACAGGCCAATGGCAAGGGCCAAGAGGAAACCTGGGACTTTAAAGGACTTCCAGGGGGCGCCCCAGGCCCCGGGCAGGCAGGGTCGGAGCCCGGAGCGGGACCTCGGGGTCGAGCGGGGACGGGCTGGAGGCCACAGGCCTGGCGGGCAGGGAAGGGCCGGGGCCGGGCGGTGGCCAGGACGGGCCATCCCGCTCGGCGCGCCGGTCTCACCTCGTCCTCCTTGTGGTTGCGGATGCCGCGGACCAGGTCCTGCAAGTTCTTGTCGAACATGCGGTCGATGCTGCCCTTGACCATCTTGAGGGCCATCGCGGCGACCCTCGGGCTCCGGCCCCGCGAGGCCCGCGGCCCGGCGCCGTGCGGAGGCCCGGGGGTATCAAGAGTTCTGGCAAATGGCGGACAAGATGGCGGAGGGTCAGCTGACGGCGGCGCCGGGTCCCCGCCGCCCGCCCCCGGAAGTCCCGCCTTCAGGAAGGCCCGCCCATAAGCCTGGGGCGGGGGTGGAAACACCACGTTTCCCTGACGACGAGGGCAGCCCAATGGAAACGCGGACAACGCGCTCCCCGGCGGCTAGGCCCTGCCCTTTCCGTCTCCGAGCTTTGCGCGCTCATAGGCTAGCGCCCTCCGCAACTCCACCCTCTTCCTCGCTTTGGTTCTAACCACGCCCCTTAGGAGCGCCGGCCCTGCCCCGCCCCTTTGCTAAGTGACAGCTACGGGCGGGGCCGCATGTGGGCGTGGTCTGAGGTGGGCGGGGCTCCCACGTGGAGCTTCCCCGGCAAGTTCCCGGGGAAGGACCCTGCTCCGCCTTTTCTGCATCTAAAAGCTGACGCTGCGTTGAACATATCCTGTTTCCTGGAGCCTCACAAAATCCTGTGATATGGTCAGAACAGGGATTGACATGCTCACAGGAAGAAACTGAGGCCAGAGTTAAGACATATTCGATGCATATTTATTGAGCGCCTAATGCGGACCAGGCATAGTAAGGGGCACTGGACATACAGCGGTGAATGAGATACGCTGGGTTCCTGCCCACCGGGACACAGCATGAAGACAGTGAAAAGCAAGCCACGAAGGGAAATTAGGTATTTATGATACACGTATCTGGCAAAAGACATATCCATGGGGCTGGCCGGTGCTGATAACATCAAGGTCCAGGGTTTGATCCCTGTGCTGGCCAGCCGCCAAAACTCACGAATAAATAAAAAGGACATATCCAGAGTACACTCGAACGAAACAAAGCAGAACCAAACAAAAATTCTTGTAAACCACAAAGAAAAAGACAACCCAGTCCAAACATGGCAAAAGACAAACACACATTTCACAAACTGATGTATCCAAATGGTGAATAGGTATATGCAAAAGGTGTTCTGTATTGTTAGTCATCAGGGAAATGTTAATTAAAACCACAGCGAGGTAGCTCTACACCCCCTACAGGAACGGCTAAACTTAGAAAGACACGCAATATCAAGAGTTGCTGGGGGATGGCAGGTCAGCTCAGTTGCTTAGAGCATGGTGTTGTAACACCAAGGCCAAGGGTTCTGATCCCCATACTGGCCAGCCACCAAAAAAAAAAGGGTTGCAGAGATGTGGAGCAACTGGAATTCTCCCATCATGTACTCCAGGTGTGATTGTAAAACATCACAACTACACTGGAAAACCTGGGCATTATCTACTAAAGCTAGCATATATGTATACCCTATGATCCAGCAATCCCACTGCTGTTCCCACCAAAGACTTGGACAAGAATGTTCATAGCAGCTGTATTTATAGCAGTCAAAAATCCAAAACAGCCCAAATGTCCATCAGCAGAAAGTGGATAAAAAAATAGTATTTTCCTATCATGGAATACCATGCAACAATGAAAAAGAAAAATTGGTCTGGCCAGTTGACTCAGTTGGTTAGAGCATGGTTCTGGTAACACCAAGGTCCAGAGTTCAATTCCTGTACTGGCCAGCTTACAAAAAAAGAAAAAAGAAGAAGAAGAAGAAGAAGAAGAGAGAGAGAGAGAATAAAAGAAAATATTGACACAGAACAAAATGGATGAATTACATAGACATGACGTTGAGCAAAATAAGCCAGGCACAAAAGTGTGCACGGTATGATCCTAATGATGTGAAGTTCAAGAACAGGCAAAACTAACTTGTGGTGATAGAGTTAAGTAACTTGCCCTATGTCGCATATATAATTATACATGGGAGAACCAGAAACTGGGTATGTAAATTCCGGTATATCGATGCAATGAATCCTGACCAGCTGTTGAAAACAACGCCTAAACAACTGGAAAACTAGACAAATATATGAAACCACGGTTTCCAGATAGTGTAGGACTGTGATCCCTGACTGCAGGGAAGAAACGATCGCTCCAGCATTCTACTGGAGGCAACTTCCCAGCCGCAGCTCAGGGCAGAGAAAGTGACACAGAACCCAGTGGTCTCAGGAATAGAGTGGACTGAGATGTGAGATAAGGAAGGCCACAGTGGCTAGAATTGCAGGACAATGTACTGGAGAGCAGGAAACCACACTAAGGAAGAGCACTCAAATTTTTATAAAACTTCCCTTGAGTCTTTGGCTGAATAGCAAACTGCACACGCATATGGTGAAATTCCAGTAGCCCCGGCAAAAAACAAGTGCTGGGGATAGGGCAATTCCCAGTCTGGGAATTCCTAGAGAACCCACCAGTGAAGGTGGAGAAAATTCATTGACTACATAAAGCATCCAGAAGAAGCCTCAGAGCAGTTATACCTTATTTAGGGCTAACCTAGCCCTGGAGGGAAGTCTGTTCTAAACCTGCCCTAAAAAAGATTTTTAAGTCTCAAAACAATCAAATAATCTACAAGTAATGTAAGTGACAGCCAGAACAAAGTCCAATATTTTCTAAATGAAAACAACAAAACCTAGGATTTAACACAAAACTCATGAGGATGAGAGTTCAATAAAAATTGAGGAGACATGTGAAGAGTCAAGAAAATATAACCCATAACCACGAGAGGAAAAAAGGACGAGTAAAGCGAAGAAATGACGGGGATGGGGGAATTAGCAGAAAAAGACTGTCACGTGCTTAGAAGAAACAAGCAACTTTCCTGAAAGCCGCCAATTGCCAAAACTCATTCAAAAAGAAATAACAAATTTGAATAGCCTCGTATGTATAAAAGACATTAAATTTGTAATAAAACAATTTTACCACAATAAGTCCTGGCCCAGATGGTTTCACAGGTGGATTCTATCGAACATTTAAGAAGAAATACAGGGGGAAAGAAGGAATCAAGAAAGGGCCACGAAAAACGATGGCGTTGTATATTGTTAAATATAATAATTATCCTAATTGGAGCATCACATGTCGCACACAGGCATTCACATTAAACTCTGTACCCCCCAGATATGTACGATCGGCTATGTTGCAATAAAAATTAAAAATTCGTAAAAAAAAAAGAAGAAATACAGAACCTCATACCAGCCAGATGCCAAAAAAAAGCAAAAGAAAAGGACAAGCAATATTCCTCATGAATATAGACGCCGAACTTTTAAACACAGTATTAGCAAATCAAATCCAACAATATATAAAAATGGCATATACTTTACAAATTGTATTTATAATAAAACATTTTAAATATGACTTTTTATAATTATAATAAAATGTTATAATATGTAGAATAAAATGAAAAATATAATACAGGTAACACATCATGATCAACTACATTTGTCCAGGAAGGCAAAGTTTGTTTAACATTAGGAAAAAAAAAAAATCAAACAGCATTATTCGTGAGGGCTGGGTGGTGAGCTCAGGAGAGCGTGGTGCTGGTCATACCAAGGTCAAGGGTCCGGATCCCCATGCTGGCCAGCTGCCAAAAAAGACCAAAAAAATAAAACAAAAATCAAGAATTTCAAAAAACAATTGCATTGAGATGACTTTTTAACACCGCGCTCTAACCAACTCAACTAACTAGCCAGCCCTAGGTTTTTAAAAAAACTCAGCCAATTAGGAATAGACAGAAACTTCCTGGGTCTATAAAGAGAAACTATGAAAAACGTGCAACTAACACCGTTCCCAGTTGGAATTTGCATTTGTCAGAGATTTCTTGGCAATCACGTTCAGGTCCTGCAAGCTCGGCGCGAATCCGACAGAAGTCGATGTTGTGCCCTCCTCAGTGGCCCACATCAGGAGGCAGTTGATGTCCATGTCTTACTGTGGTGACCTTGACCTTGATGGTTTGAGGAAGGTGTTGTCTGCTGGTTTCTCTGCTGTCAGGATACTGTGTTTCCCTTCATAATGAATGAGTGTCTCCGGGAAGGCACTTTGTGACTCCGTGACTGTCTTGTTTGTCACCTCATTGCGCCCCAGAGATTTTAGCGTCTAGTTTTTACTCTTACCTGCACATGTGACAGTGTAGTCTCCCAGTGGTGATTTTTTCCACTTCCATGCTTCCTTTTACTTTTGCTAATTAAAATGCAAAAGTTTGCTGTCTGTCATTCCCCATTTTAAAGTTGTCGATTCAGGGCCGAGCCTGTGGCGCATTCGGGAGAGTGCAGTGCTGGGAGCACAGCGACGCTCCCGCCGCGGGTTCGGATCCTATATAGGGATGACCGGTGCGCTCACTGGCTGAGCGCGGTGCGGCCGGTATCAAAAAAAGGACAAAATAAATAAATAAACTAAGTTGTCCATTCAATTTATATCATATGGACTTGTGGATATTTTTATTTTATAGGTTATAATCCTTTCTACCGTGATTTATGTTCCTGTCAGATACTTTCAATGACCCACATCACAACCATGGCCACTCGATAGGTGTAAATCCACAGTCCTGTACAGCCTAAGTCAGATCTTTTGGCTTTTCTGTCTCGGGACCTTCTCCAAAACCCCTCAACCCCATGCCCCAGATCCCCCTCTCCACAGGAAACCACTGCTAGTGGTTTGGGTTGTGTCCTTCCAGACCCTTCTGCCTGCATTTACACACGTTGGTCTCTGCCTGTTCCACTTGTGGGTGAAAGTATTTTCATACAAACGAGATCTTTTCACCAATATGTCCTGGTTGCTGTGGTCGGCGGAATAACAGCCCTGAAAGATGTCCATGTCCTAATCCCTGGAACCTGTGAATATGGTACTTAATATGGCACAACAGGTAAGGACCTTGAGATGGGAGGTCATCCTGGGTTACCTGGGGGCCAATGTCCTCTCAGGGTCCTCATAAGAGGGAGGCAGGGCGGTAAGAGTCAGAGAGAGACTGGAAGACACTGCGCTGCTGGCTTTGCAGACAGAGGAAGGGGCCACGTGCCCAGGGCTGCAGGCGCCTCTAGAAGCTGGGAAAGGAGGACCCGAGCTTCCAGTTGGAGCCCGCCCTGCCCACACATTGATTTTAGGACTTCCGAGTTCCAGAATCTTGCAAACTAATTAGGTGCTGTTTGGGTTTTTTGTTTTCCTTTGTTTTGTTTTTTCTGGCTGCTGACCAGCACTGGGATCCGAACCCTTGACCTTGAAGAATCATGTGCTGTTTTCAACCACTGACCGTGTGGGGATTCATCGCAGCCGTCTTAGGAATCTCGTGCAAGTACCTTTGTGCGATCGTTTATAAAGCTGTCTGGTTTTCTGATTCTAATCGCGAGTGGTCGTTTTAGTCGCTACCTGTCAATGGACAGATATGTTACTTCCAGTGTTTTCCCTTCACGACCATTGCCGCCCAGGATACAGGGCTGCGGGGCTAAAAGCCCATGGGCGAGGGACACACT